GTAACAAGTCGATTCCTAAGTCGTTAAGTTCAGTTAACGATACTTCCATTAGCATATCTATGATGAAGTTAAACAGAAAAGGGGAAAGTGGACATCCCTGACGGACACCACTTGGTTGTTATCAATTCAGATGACAATTCCCCATAAGCCCTTACACAGCTACGTGAGTTTGAGTAGAGTGCCTTGATTAGCGCAATGTACTTTCTTGGCACTCCCTTCACAGTCAAACATTGCCATAGTACCTCTCGATCCACGGAGTCGAAGGCCGCCTTCAAGTCAAGAAATATGGCAATTGTTGGACGCCAAAAAGTGTGTCTATGTTCTAGGATCTGTCGGAGAGTGAAGATATGATCTATGCACCTTCTACCTGGCCTAAAGCCTGCTTGATTTTCCCTCGTTTGTTCCTCCCCAGGTTTTGCTTAGTCTGTGCATGATTACTGAGCCTAGGATTTTAGAAACTATGTTCGTAAGGCTGATCCCCCTATGATTATCACATGAGGATTTGTCTTCCATTATGGGTAAATTTTTATTTTGATAGAGTTTCACAGTGTTATACAGTAATATTTACTGATGACGTTTCGAGCACAATTTATTGCTCATAATCATATCAAGTTAATCACACGACTTCCTAAATTCATTTATATAGTTCCATTGTTTTTCACTTTATTTTTCACTTGATTTGATTGGTAGTATTATTTTCCATATCTCGGGTATGAGTGATGAATGATTCCTATTGCATGTGTTGGGTGTAGATTCGATGAACAAAGATTCAGTAATCAACCTCTCTCGCTCTCCACCTACCTAGATTACTTTTTAGAATTTTAACCCTCCCCCACCCTATTGTGTGTTAATGCATGCATTGCAATTGCTGAGCTGTTTTCTAAATTACTTATCTTTTCTGGGTCAACCATTCTGCCCTTAGCTTAATTCTTATGTTCTGACAATCTGACTACCCCTGACCTACTAGTTTGACCTATGTAGTTGACCTCACAGTCATTGCAGGGTATTTTGTAAATTATATTATTTTGTCTAATTGGGTCAGCTGGGTCCTTTAACCTACAGAGCTTGTCCCTGAGTGAGTTTGTAGGTTTAAATGCCACGGAACCATATAAATGAATTTAGGAAGTCGTGTGATTACCTTGATATGATTATGAGCAATAAATTGTGCTCGAAACGTTGTCATCAGTAAACATTACTGTATAACACTGTTGTGAGACTTTATCAAAACAAAATTTACCCATTATGGAATTACACTCTACCACAGTGCCCAAGTTTTATTGTTATATCAATGGAGACTTGTCTCCCTTCTTGAATATTGGTATAATAAGTACTTAGGTAGCTCGCTTAGAAACCGACAGCAAAAGACTTTATGGAGTGATAGCATGTTTTGGATTATTATTATTATTATTACTACTACTACTATTATTAAATAACTATTTACTTATTTATTTTTAAAAGAAAATTAAAGTAAACAGTTCATATTTGGAAATCATTCCATGTTTACAAGAATACAGATAATTGTAAACAATATATACACTATTATATACATGCATATTGTTACACAAAGGTAACCCCATATAGATTATCACAGTTAACCGGAGTCGTATGTTTAAGATTATCAACTTGTATACGTTCAAAACAAACAGAAAAGTGAGAGTGTATGCATGTCTGTGTGTGTGTGTGTGTGTAAGAGAGAGAGAAAGAGGGAGAGCAACTGCCAGTGAAAATGTGAAACACGAAAGCAAAGTAAACAAATTCACGAAAGATAAACAGAAAATTTTGTTTGTTGTTTTTAAAAAAAATTTTGAAGAAAACGAGAGAAATGAGGAATATTATTGGAAATACACAACAACAACAACAATAGTACCCAAGAATTCCAGAAAACCACAGGATAATTTACCAATGGTGGTGAATCACCGAAAAATCAATGAGATGCTCACTGGCGACTGGTACTATTCAGGTAGGTAGTTACCTGGGGTTCCAGTGAGAAGTCGTGACCAGTAGCATGGAGCAGGTCGGGTGTGAGGACAAATACTCGCCGAAAATATTCGCTAGCTATTGCTCTATATCGTGAATTGGCAGAAGTTAGAAATCATGGGCCATTGGATCGCATCCCATTGGCCCAATGGTCTACGAGCTCGCCTTGTAACCAGAAGGTCATGGGTTCGAATCCCGGTGGATGTGTACTGATGAAGAGTCCCAAACTAGGACGAAACATCTGTCACAGGTTTTCCAATGGTTCTCTAACCAATGTCAGCTCATGGTGAAATCCTGTAACCAATCAGCCAAATCCCTACAAACCAATACTTGAAAAATTTATAGTCAGTCAAAAGGCAAAAATGTACTTCACAAAGCAGTTTGCTTCGTCCACTTATAAGCAAGGCTGTCACAAACATGGCCTATGAAAGTTGGAGACATGAAAAGAGATTAGCGGTCCATTAGAAATACAGCGCTTCCATTCTCTACCGCTCTCTCTCTCTTTCTTGTATTAGGTAGTACGATGCGCTCAGCTATATTGAAATTATAAGAAAAAGGTACAAACAGCGAAGAAAATTTCCATTTCGACGATTCATTTTCATGAGCTTTACAATCGTAATTATAATTAACAGAGAAATCCTTAGACCAATCAGATACCGGTAAATTTTGTCCTTGGAAAATTGTATTACATAATGTAAGGTGTAACCTAGATGGAATGACTAATTGTGGAGCAAAGTATATCGGCCGTACGCAACGTCAAGTTCACAAACGTATTCTGGAACACTGTCCAGCTTGGTTATCCAGAGGAGAGAAGAGGAATAGCAACAGCTCGATCCTCGAACACATTGTCATCTCTGGACATCGAGCACCCCCACTTGCATGGATGCTTCACAGTGCTATACAGAGTCCCTCAATATAGGACAAAGGGACTTCGGATACGCCATCTGTACACAGCTGAAGCATTAGCTATTAGAGATATGAAACCGGACCTCTGCATCTAAAAGCGATACATACATTCTCTTGCCCTACCATGGCTAGAGTAAAGTTCTCACCACAATTTTGCTTCTTTTCTTTATTATGTAATTTCACTATTATTATTATTTTATTTTATTAATACTTTTACTATCATTATTGTTCCCATCATCCACATTTTATTACCACTCTATTACTGTTTATTAATAACATTGCTTTTCATACATATTTTATACAAAAACACTTTATAGCCTTTCTACTAGTTCCTGTCCATTTTACGCGAGCTTATTGATTATTGATTATCTCATACTTATTACGTCATGCCAACTTCTGTCTCCTTTCTAACTTACAATTAGTCATCCCTTCTAAATTACACCTTACATTATGTAATACAATTTTCCAAGAACAAAATTTACCAGTATCTGATTGGTCTAGAGATTTCTTTGTTAATTATAATTACGATTGTACAGCTCATGAAAATGAATCGTCGAAAAGAAAATTTTCTTCGCTGTTTGTGCCTTTTTCTTATGACTCAATATGGGAATATTTCGTTTATATTGAAATTATATGTAGAATATTAGGTAAGAAGGGAAGGTTAATCAAACACGATAGTTTGGACATGTATTACGCATGGGGTCAAGGCATACATAGACTTCCTCGACAAGTTAGGTTAGCTGACATACATAGAAGAAGTAAGCTGTCAAAGAGTAAGGCGTGGAATCAATTCACCTTCTAATTTTAAGCCAAGTAAAGAGGTGTAGAAGACCTCACCGATGCCCTAAAAAGACGCTAATATACATATATTTTTTATTACAGCTTGATTCCACACCGTATTTTTTTGGTGCAGGTATGGAATTTTCAGCATGTGATATCGGTAGCCCAAATTTTGCAGGCCGACCATAGATATCAGGTGTGCGTCGGCAGGAGATCGAACCCCGGACCATGTTCATGGTCGTCGAGAGTCCTAAACACTGTGCCACAGATGAGTAGGCACAAGGAATCCAATAGATACGCCTTTAGTCCTCCTCCTATTTAGGACTCATTCCAGTGAAACTCTCGTCAACTGGTACTGGCTGTATTCAATTCTCGGTGGAGGAACACCACTATCACTCCTTCATTTGGCAACGAAGGTATATATATCCAGATGATGAGTTCCCCAAGTAGGACGAATTTCACAAATCATGGATTCTATTAATGGTCATTAATCAAGCGACATAACATCATATTAATCCAGATGAAGGAACCTGAAAGAAACAACCTGCTTCACCTACCTACCTACCTGGGAAGCATCGTTTCAACTACAGGCGAACGAACTGACGAGGATATCAAAGCAGCGAGAATCGGAAAAGAAAGACAAGCTTTCACTACTCTCAAGTCTGTGTGGAGGTCAACAGACAGTACTCAGCATCAAAACGAAGATAAGATCCGGATTTTCAACTCCAATGTGAAGTCAGTCAGTGCCACTTACTATACGGATGGATCAGAGACTTGGCCAGCGCGTCATAAAGAGCATCTCAAACAAACTACACACCTTCATCAACAGCTAGCTATATTCGCTCAATACCACTGTAGATCAGAAGGCCGGCCAGAAAAGATCAACAACAGAGAGGGATCTCTGGCAATGAGCGAACCAACCAACACAGCAGGAACCAACCGATTGTGAAATGGAGGTAGGTGGATTGGCCATACTCTGAGGGAACAAACCATCAAGTGAGTGACATCCCTAGACAAGCCCATTGGTCGAGTGGAACCCGGCCGAAAGGGAAGCGGCGGCGAGTTGGTCGTCAGTGCGAGGGTGGGGTGACTTGGAGGAGGTCATGTGAAGAGGAGATGAAAGCGTGTGTGTGGAAAGACTTGTAGCCATATGAAAAATCTAGCAGAGAACCGAACGCAATGGAGACGCACGGCTGAAGCCCTATGTTCCTCTAGGAATTAAAGGAAACAGTAATAATAATACATAAACAGATAGATTGAATATTTCTGTGAAACATAATGAATAATCAACGAGAAAATACATAAAACGTAAGTCTAAAAATCAAAATATCACTTACTGTATTGTTTATATTGCTAGAGTTTAAAGCATCACAATGTTGATTAGATGCGTGTATTGTAGACTGTGAGTGATTATTGTAACAACTAGCAGTATTGTTATTGTTATTATTATTATTGCCATTACTATTCCCACTGCTGATATTGTTATTATTCCATGAACTATTCGTTGACACAGATATAGACGATTGAAGACTTAATTCCGAGGCATGACAAGATAGGCCACCACTTCCAACACTACTAGAGTAATAATGATTATTATTATTATGCTGATTAGAGATGTCCAATCCACTTCCTGTAGTACTAGTGCTACTACCAATTCCAGAGTGTTGTTGTTTAGTTGATCGTAGTGTACATCGTGATTCAGATCGACTACTACTACAACCCCCACCACCACCACCACCGGCACCAAATGCTGACGTTGAGTATTTACGATCAGATGATGTCAGGCTAGAAGTGACATGACCAACTGCATAGTCTATTGCTTCTTCTATTTCATCAGGTATTTGATTTGGATCATAAGAATTATGCGTTATAGCTAGAATAGACTCTTCGAATAAATTGACATCACCGAATATAGCCAGTTTTGAATCCTTTTCATCAATAGAAAATGAAAGAGAGAGAGAGAAAATAAATGAGCAGGAGGAGGGGAAGGGGGAGGAGGCGACAAATTAATACTGTTACCAATTTTTTTTATTAATATATATATATATATAGCAACACTAAACTGGCCTGGTATCCAACATCCAACAGAATGGAATACAGACATAGCTCCTATTTCCGTAACTCAAGAAAGAGGCAGGACCTTACGGAATGATTCCAGAGGTGTTTAAGGAAGTTGGTGGAAAACTGGACACTGAATTAACCAAGGCATTTTAGGGAAAGTCTGGGAATCAAAGATAATTCAGTTAGACTGTTATGTATGTCATTGATTATCCCCCTGGTTATAAGAAGGGCGACATGTCTTCCTGTGATAATAATCCTAGGCGACTCTAAGCTCGACTAATAGAGTAAGTTCTAAGTTCAACAATCGCGAGCCGACTAAATGGTATTCTCTTTGTCTGTCTGTTTTCAACATAGAACTTTGCACATATGTGCAGCAGTTCAATTCGCCACACTCCACTCCTTGTAGCACACAATGCAACAGAAGAAAGTAGGAGAAATGCATATTAGAAAGAGACAGTAAACAGAGGTGTGAGACAAAGGAATAGTAATAACGAAGAACAAAACAGTTTCATTGGAAATCATAAGTCAGTCACAAGGAGTGGATGCATCTGCACCAGCCATTGAGAACGATCACTTTGAGCTAGCCATGTCACCAATTGTTTCCAGCCTTCATTGTTTTTTACCGTCCCGAGGACCCCAACCAGTCAGAAAGCCAGTCTACACCTTCCCAAGTGGCTTAGACTAACTGTTGTGGATTTCATTGACTGGTGCCGTATTTTGGTTTGACCGCCGCTAGCTCTTTTCCAGCCTGACCCTATGTCAGCTAACATTGCCCGTCGAGGAAGGATATAATCAAGAGAAGATTGAGGACGTCACTAGTCAGTGTCTACCATGCAGGTGAGTTGTTCCCCATCTATTGAACAACATGCTCTCCTTTGGTGCAATCAAAAGTCGAAAGATATCCTTCTCAATGTTAACTCCAACTGTATATACAAATCTACGTGTATCTGCTAGAGCAGGTACGTACATTGGGAGAATAGAAAGAAGGGCATACCTCCCATTTTCTGAACATTTACCGCGAAAAGCCTACATCTCAAGGAAACAAATGATTTCAATAGTGCGATTAACAGGCAGCTCCTTGACACACGGGTCATGAGGTGAACCTCACCAAAAATCGTTCAAAATTATCAACGGTCAAAAGAGAGTTCGATTCTCCTCAAGTTTGCTGAAGCAAATTTCCATCAAGTGCTTGAAACCCAGTTTATGTGTTCAGAAAGAAGTGGTTATGTGTCTTTCACTGCCCTGGTAACTGGATGTTTGCATCCACTCTCTCATTTGATTACGCAAAGCCGAAAAATTCCAGAGTGTATGATTATTAATTACTGTTTGGAATGAAGTGATCATTATTATTATTACCATTGTAAGCATATGTTGATTTTTCGTTTAAAAATGAACTCTCTGTATGAGTATGTTAAAATTGTTCAAGTATATAAAGTGAATGTGCGGTTAGGACGTTCGCCGACCATGGACATGGTCCGGGGTTCGATCCCCGGCCACAGACGCACTCCTTTACCTCGCTAAGCCAGAAATAATGCTGGTGAAGAGGAAAGGTTGGTAATGAGGCTAGCAACCCCATACTGTAAAATACACACTGCTACAGAAACTTCAAACCACTAGCTTGAAGCCCTATGTTCCACTGGGAAACGTGAAGGAAGCAAAAAACATAAACTGAATAACGTTTTTGGGCTGTAAGCAACTGATGAGAAGCCAATGAAATAAGCACTCATGGTAGCATTTTATTCTGCACAAACCACCATTGATTGTTCTTGCTTTATTCAAATTCATAAAAGGGGAGGGGGAATAAATGTACGAACCGAATAGTTTTTGGATGCTGGTTAGTCAGATCGAGTGGGATTTTACGAATAGAACCAGAGTTGCCTACGAGGAAGGTTTTACATGTACCGAGGTATGAATCCCACTATTATTAATGTGTGGACAGCTGATGACACATACACATACATACACACACACACTGCACTATTATTGTTCAGGCTGATGTAAGCGGGGTGGGATTCGAACCTGAAAGTCAACAAATCAAGATCTAAATACACTTTTTAAGATTACAGTAATAAAATCAATGCAAAAAAAGAGTAACCAATCAACCAAATCCCTACAAACCAATACTTGAATATCAATGAGATGCTCGCTGGCCCTATTCAGGTAGGTAGTTACCTGGGATTCCACTGGGAAGTCGTGACCAGTAGCATGGAGCAGGTCGGGTGTGAGGACAAATACTCGCCGAAGACATTGGCTTAGGGTAGCACTACGTCGTGAATTGGCAGAAGTTAGAATTCAATGCCCATTGGATCGGAAGTCCCAGTGACTTAATGGTCTACGAGCTCGCCTTGTAACCAGAAGGTCCTGGGTTCGAACCCCGCTGGGTGCGTACTGCTAAAGAGTCCCAAACTAGGACGAAACAGCAAAACAGTACTCTCAGGTTTTCCAGTGGTTCTCTAACTAATGTCAGCTCATGGTGAAATCCTGTAACCAATCAACCAAATCCCTACAAAGTAATACTTACAAAAAGAGTTTTCCGTTTTTAGATTATAATCATTTAGGCATGTCAGTGCATAACTTTGGTTTAGACACACATACACAATTAAATCATATTGACTGGAAAATAAATATTTTCTCTCTCTCAGAAATATCAATCAAAATAACAGGAAACTATTTTACTAACTCTATACACAGCTTACTCACTTACTCAATCGAAACTCACAACACAACAATAACACGACCTCATAGATATCAATATATTTCAATATGTTTTAGAATCGATTAAAATATTATGAAAATATTTTGCCTCTCCTGTCACTTAGAGAAATATTTCTATAATTCATTTCAAGTTTGCCCATGAATCGACGACTTACAGTGAGACAATTATTGCAAGTCAATTCATGTATAATACCCATCCAGGCATTAATGAAAACAAAACACGTAGATCAGCGAAGAGTCTCTTTTCGCCGGCGAATTCATTTTCTTAGCTGTACAATCGCAAATATATGTATATGTGTTATTTTGTATGTATGTGTACATTAATTTTGTCAAACAAAAATACAATTGGTTATAGTTATTTTAACTAAACAGGTGAAGATTGGTAATTGGAGCTATTATAATTATTGATGTTTCCTTTAATTCCTAGAGGAAGATAGGGCTTCAGCCGATCACGTCTCCATTACGTTCGGTTCTCTGCTAGAGTCTTCACCTGGCTCCAAGTCTCCCCCCACACACACGCTTTCATCTCCTCTTCACATGACCTCCTCCAAGTCAACCCAGCCTCGCACTGACGACCAACTCGCCACCGCTTCCCAATCGGTAGGCTTCCACTCGACCAATGGCTTGTCTAGTGATGTCACTCACTTGATGGTTTGTTTCCTCAGAGTATGGCCAGCCAGCCAATCCACCTACCTCCATTTCTTCTTGCCTATTTGTTTCACAATCGGTTGGTTCCTGCTGTGTTGGTTGGTTCGCTCATTGGCAGAGATCCCTCTCTGTTGGTGATCTTTTCTGGCCGGCCGGCCATCTGATCTTGAGTAGTATTGAGCGAAGACAACTGGCTGTTGATGAAGGTGTGTAGTTTGTTTGAGATGCTCTTTATGACGCGCTGGCTAAGCCTCTTGTATTCACTTAGAGATCTTACGTAATTTTCTATTATCTACTTTGTCCCCATGTGCATCCTGAGTAAAACTCACTCATCAAACTATTCATATAATTACATAACTTCTTTTAACAACTGTTTGTGACAACTCATCACCTTTCTTACTACCCTAATTTCACTAACACCTAATTTTCTTGACTGATTTTGGATTACGGAACTCCAATTACCAATCTTCACCTGTTTAGTTAAAATAACCATAACCAATTGTATTTTTGTTTGACAAATTTAATGTACACATACATACAAAATAACACATATACATATATTTGCGATTGTACAGCTAAGAGAGAATGAATTCGCCTGCGAAAAGAGACTCTTCACTTATCTACGTGTTTTGTTTCCATTATTGCAAGTCAGTCAAGGAGCAATGAACAGCTGTTTTGTCTTAGTTTGCAACTCTTCAACGAAGTACACACGTATGACTTTCACTGCCAGGGATTGAATCCTTTAGTCTCTAGGAGATCTCGATGAATATTCTAGTCACTGACAGGGAATCCAGTGAGTGGTACATTAATCTTAACTTCTGCTAATTCATGATGTTAATTTACCAAAATATTCAAAAGCCACAGGTTCGAATCCCCCCTCCTCCATCTACCGACGTTTGAGTAGCAGGCAGCTAGAGAGAGTATCCTCAAGGGTTAGTTTGTAGGGGTATTCGATTTGTTTCAGGTCCAAAATTTTAAACAAATCAAAACCCTAAAACAAAAACTAATCCTTGAAAATGCATCTGATGCATGCTAGTGATTAGTGAATGACCTTCAGGACGGAGTTGCCTGAAGTTCTAATGAGAAGTTGTGACCAGTGAGGTCTACTGATGAGTCATTGGATTATATCTCAGTGACTGGAATAGTCATCAAGATCGCCTGGTGACCAGGAGACCCTGGGTCCCGATTTATGGGCTTTCTTTGTAACCAGAAGTCCTTGGGTCCTAGTCCCAGTGGGTGTGTACTCCTGATAAGTACCAAACTAGGATGAAACAGTTGTCTAAGTACTGCCTGGTTACTTTTGAGAGTTCTCTAGCTGATATCAATCTATGGTCAAACTTGAAGCTAAAATATCATTAAAACCCTCTCAAAAGATAGATGTGGCTCATCATGAACTGCCTCCCCGGTAACGCAAGTGGTTTTAGAGTAACAACTTATGTAAAAAATCAATAAATCATATCTTTTCCCAGGGAAAAATGAGACTCATTATAAATTATTTAAATCA